CCGCTCTCTCTGCTTCAGCCACCAAGCGCCTCCTGAACAACTCCTCCCTGTCCCGGCACTGCCCAAAGGCTGCCCCTGAAGAGCCCTGAGTCCAGCCTGTGGTGCATGCTACCAGGACCTGCCCGCTCTGCCCTCATTTCAGTGGTTCCTCTGAGCCTTTGTTTAGCGTCTGTCTCTTGCCCAGGGCTGGGTGCTCTGAGGGGCAGCAGGGGGAACCAGTCTGTCCTCATGACTCCCTTTGGGGTAGGATGCCAGCCCACCTCCTTGTTGCCAGGCCAGGCCAAGAGATGGACAGCTGTTGTCCCACTGCTTGTGGCCACTGTCCTGGGACTATAGTGGGGATCCACATAGTAAAAAGCCTGCTGGTACAGCCCACCCTGAAAGTACAACCCACCCTGAAGGTACCATCTACCCAGCCTGCAGGTAGGTCTACTGAAAAGGGAGTCTCCCCGTGACAATGGCTCAGGTGTGCCATACTGGCATGGACAGGTGACCAGGACGCACCCAGATCATGAAAGGAGAACATGAGAGACCACGAGGCCACAGGGGAGTAAGAGCTTGTGAATGTGACAGGAAGCCGAGGCTGTCACTCTGCTGCCCTCTGCCTTCAAGGTCAGGGAAGCTCCTTGACTAAGTGAGCTGGCGTCTGGGAGGGACAAGATTGGAAGCTTTCACAGAGCAGACGAGCTGCCTGGATGAGGAAGGTGGGGGGAGGCCGAGGTGCATCCAGACGCCAGGCCTCAAGGTGGGGCTGGCCTCTTCCTGGGTCAGGAATGCAAGAGGAACAGACCTCTATTGCCTGGCCCCGGAGCCCTAATTCGTAGCGGAGGCTCTTTGTGCCACGATGCAAAAGGTCCGCAGTTTGAAACCACTAGCCGCTCCTTGGGAAAGATGGGGCTCTGTTCCTCGAAAGAATTACAGCCTCAGAGATCTACAGGGGCAGTTCTACCCTGTCCCGTAGGATGGCGATGAGGTGGCACCAGCTGGACAGCGTGAGTGAGGTTACCTCCCTCCAGGTAATCTCATCCAAACAAAACTCACTGCCATGCAGTCTGTGCCAACAGGCCAGGGTAGAGCTGCCCTGGGGGTTCCCAGTGTGACTCTTTGGGGAGGAGAGTGCCCTGAAGAGAAGGATCAGCAGAGTGGAGCGCGCCAGTGTTGCTGGAGAGAGTGGAGGAGGGGTGGGAAACCTGGCTTTGCTCCAGGTCCCCGCAAAACCTTCAACACAACCCTCCTGGCACCCTGTGGCTCTGCCTCTGTCTCTGGCACCCTTTGTGGTGCGTACAAAAAGTGCGGCAGGACACTCCTTTCCACCCAGGCTGTCCATCTCTGGGTCTTGAATGGAGCACTGAAGCCATTTCTTTAGTGTGATTATCAGTACGGTGAGTTTAAACCTATCCACTTGCTTTTTGTCTCTGATTGACTGCATTTGTTCTCTATATTGCCTTCCCCCGTTGCCTCTGCTACGGCTACTGACTGCACTGCTGTCTTACTGGGTAGTGAGTTCATCTACGGATCCATTTTAGGGACCCTGGTGCCTGCGCTCCTGATGGGAGTCAGCAGTTTGGAACAGTCACTCCTCCGGAGAAGATGAGGGTGTTTCCTCCATCAGGAGTTGCAGAAACTCAGAGGGCAGCTCTGCCCTGCCCTGTAGGGCCACTGTGGGTCACTCAGGACCGATTCGACGGCAGTGAGAAGAGAGAGAGAGAGGACATTTTTAACTTACAGGCTCTCTTCAAATAAGGTCGTTGTTAGGTGTCACCACTACCTGTGCACAGCAGAGCGAAGCAGTGCCTCTCCTGCACCGTCCTCACGGTGGGGTGTCCAAGCCCAGCATTGCAGCCACCTTGTCCATCGTCCCCATGAGGGTCTTCCTCGCGTTCATTGTCCCTCTGCCCAGCAAGATGTCCTTCTCCATACACGAGGGACGGTCGCCCTGATAGCATGCCCAGAGCAAGTGGGACAGAGTCCCGTCTCCCTTGCTTCGGAGAAGCCTCCGGGCTGTCCCTCCTGCAGGGCAGACTGGGTCATTCTTTGCCAACACCTTGATGCAAAGGCACACACGCTTCTTGGGTCCTCCCTAGCCAGTGTCCCCTGCCTGGGACCCAGGCTGGGTGCACGTCACCTCTGGGCTCTAGGCAAAATCCAGGGTAAGGAGCTGGAGCAGGACTGTTGTCCAGTTCAGACCCTGACCCCAGCCCCCTCCCCACAGGGATCCAGGACCCCATTCTCTGAGCTAGCCTCCTACCCCTCCCCCGCGGCCATCATACACATTCTTCAGCCAGCCCTTCCTGCAACCTGCTCTGGGTGGGGAGTGGGCCTGGGGCGGGCCCAGGAGCAGGTGGGACTGCCCAATGCAGGAGGCTAGGCCCGTGTGCAGGGTGGGGCTCCCAGGTGCCCCTGGGGCTCCCTCCAGCTGTGGAAGGAGCCAGCAGGAGACTGCTCTGCCCAAGGGCGTGGAGACCCTCCTGTGGAGACACCCCCCTCCCCACCATGGAGATCCCCTGTGGAAGGTCTGAGGCTAACCCCAGGCAGATGGAGGGCTCTGGTCACGCTAAGCAAAGGACAGGAAGGACGCCTGGAGTGGGAGGGGCATGAGGGAGGTGGAACCAGTGGAGGTGGGAGCTGGGGACAGCAGGAAGGAGGTGGGTAGCAGGCAGCAGCCCAGGAGGGACTGGCCTGGAAGCAAAGAGTAAACTGGGCTTCCCACACCAGGAAAATGCCCCATGGGACGCCCCCACCCCCTTCTCTAATCCAGCTCAGCTGCTGCCTCTCCAGGGGGTCGGCCAGCGCCCCTGGCTGCAGCGCTTCCCTCATCAGAGCAGCACTGTCCGGTCCCACCCAAACCCCCAGGGGACAGCTGAGCACCTTCTGTTCCCGGCCCAGTCCCACAACAAGGGAACCGCCCCTTCTCCAGGGCTGGGACTCCACCCTACTGGCCACCCGCTGTCACAGCTGGACACCCCGCCACCACCCCCACTGCCCCAGCTGGGACAATTACCCAGAACGGCCAGGGAGTCAGCTTGGTTTTTGCAGAGTAGCGAGAGTGAGGGCGTTGGCTCTGTCTGTCCACCTCCAAGGGGCCCAAGGGTGAAGGGGGGGACTGTGGGCAAGCAAGGCACTACCCCTCCCTGGGCCCTTGGAGTGTGGAGGCCTGACTCCCACTACCCACCCCATGGTGGCTCCAGCACCTGGGCTCAGGCACCAACCCAACTATGCCACTCTATTACCCTGGGAGTCCTCTCCCCAAGACCCGGGACACTTGGCTGCTGCCTGGTTTGATACTGTGGGAACGGCCCCCTCTGACTTCCAGCTTCCCCAAAGCCTGCCAGACCTTGGGGCCCCTGCCGATGACCCACGGGCCCCCTGCCCACTGACTTGAGGGTCTCCTGCCCGCTGACCAGAGTGTCCCCTGCCTGCTGACCTAAGAGTCCCCCTGCCCACTGACCTGAGATTCTCCTGCCCACTGACCTGAGGGCCCCCCTACATGCTGACCTGAGGGTTCCCACCACAGTTGCAGGAAAGGTCCTGCCTGTTGATCAGAAGGTCCCCTGCCCTCTGGCTGGAGGGTACCCTGCTGGCTGATGTGAGGGTCCTGTTGGCCTTGTCACAGGCTCCCACTGGATCAGAGATGGCCCACCAGCCTCCTCCACATCCATGACCCCATAAGCCTCCTGTAGCTCAAGGTCATTGCCATTCTTGTCACCTGGGTCTCTCGGCTTCACCAAGGGAGCAGCCAGCCAGTTGACCAATGACCCCACCCCCAGTGGGGCAGTGAGACCACTTTGAGCTGTAACAAATCTGAAAGCACTCTCATGTCCTCGGGCCTCCGGGTCAGGGCTGCCTTCTACTCCCCGCCCTCGGCTTCACCCACTCAATGAATGTCCTCAATCCTGGGTCGGGACTGGACAGCTGTAGGGCCTCATGCCAGCAAGGGTCAGCCCTGGACCCAGTGCACCCCTGCCCTCAGTCAGACTCCTGGGAAGCCAGCATCCCCGCAGCACTGGGGGCCCACTCAAGTGGCTGGAGAGTGGGGGTATGCTGAGTGATGCGGGGATCCCCAGAGCTCAGCAGGGACAGCCTTACCCTCCCCTGGCTCCTGCATGTGCTGGGCAGGTCCAGGGCAGCCCGGGCCCCCACTCTGGGGGTGGGGGGCAGTGAGTCGGAGGTGAGTTCTCTCTCTCCATATGGAGGCCGGGCTGCAGGCCCGGTCTGTGCCCCTCAGAGAGGCCTTGACGTGAGCACAGTCCAGCAGGGCGTCCAAAGGAGGCAGTCGAGGAGAAAGGCCAGCACTCGCCTGACAGTCCCAGTGTGTCTCCTCAGCCAAATCCACGACCGACCGACCGCAGGGATGGCACAGGGCAGGCCAGGCACGGGGACAGCAAGTGGCAGGGCAGGCGGGTGTAGGGCTGGGGCTGCTGGAGGCCAGTTCAGACTTGCCACTCTGTGGGCTGTGCCCGTGTGCTGGGCCCTGCAGGGAGAATGACTCCCAGAACCAGAACCTCAACCCTTGTGTGGTCAGCAGCCTCCCACCCACCCTCCCCTGAGCCTGACCCACTGCCCCAGCCCCACCCCCTCCAGAGAAGGGAAATCCTGAGGGGAGGATGGGTGTCAGTACCCCGCGCTCCTGTAGCTGCCCGCTGAGGCCCTGGCAGAGCAGGACAGGGCCAGTTTATTGTACTCCTTCCTGGACCTTCCCCGGGGCCTGTCTGAGCCAGTGCAGTGGGCAGGCCCAGGCCTCTGCCTACAAGCACCTGAGCCCCCCCTTCCAACTGCACTTCAAAGGCAGGAAGGAAAATTCTGCAGGAAGTGCATGGGCGGGGGTGAAGCCACACTGGTGCAGATGGGAGACTTCCTCCTCGCTAACATGCTTGCCTGAAGGCTGGTGGCTGCAGTCCACTCGGGCCTCAGAAGAAAGGCCAGGCAACTTGCTTCCCAAAGGCCAGGCCACAAGAGCAGCTCTGCTCCTCACGCAGGCTCTCAGTGAGCCCGGACCCTCGATGGCCACCGTCAGCATGGCAGCGGGTCTGTACGTGAGAGCTCGCAGTGACTGGAGAGTCCAGGGCAAGCGTCGTGCCAGCCCCGTGGGCCACCTCCTGCCCGCTGGCCTGGCCTCCCTGCTCAGCAGCAGGCCCGTTCAGGAATCAAGAGGTGCCTGGCATCACTGCTACCACTCCGGAGCAGAGGGCTGCAGGCTGTTTGCCTGCCCCGCCGTGCTGGCCCTCGGGCAGCTCTGGGCTCTGAACTCTGCTATGGTCGCTGCCAGCCGTGCTGCTCACGAGCTTCCCAGCGCATGGACGGACCTCCCGTATGAGGACACCCCTGGTAGAAGCTGCTGAGACAGGGGGCGCACTTCACATTGATAGGATTTTTTGATCTGTGTCTTTGATGCCTGGTACCTGATCCAATCAATACCTCATGATCACACAGGCTGGTGTGCTTTTCCCATGTCGGCTTTGTTGCTTCTCAGCTAGATGGCTGCTTGTTTATCTTCAAGCCTTTAAGTCCCCAGATGCTGTATCTTTTAACAGCCGGGCACCATCAGCTTTCTTCACCACATTTGCTTATGCACCCGCTTTGTCTTCAGCGATCATGTCAGGAAAGTGAACATCACAGAATGCCAGATTATTAGAACAAAGTGTTCTTGTGTTGAGGGAGTACTTGAGTCAAGGCCCAATGTCCATCTACTACCTTAATTCATAACATATAGATATAAGTACACTGATCTATTTCTCTCATTATATATGAATATATTTACATATGTACATGCCTGTATTTAGACCTCTATAAATGTCCTTTGCCTCCTGGTTCTTTCCTCTATTTCCTTTTACTTTCCTCTTGTCCCACTATCATGTACGGCCTTCACTCAGGTTTAGTAATTCCTCACTGTCACATTGCCCTTGATTAAGCCCTACTACGCATCCTACACCCTTCTCTCCACTGATTTTAGTGCATTTGTTGTTCCCTTGTCCCTGGGTTGATTCCCCCTCCCTTCCTTCGTCCCACCTCCCCTTCTCCCTTATCCTCCCAAACCATTGGTCCTATTGTTTTTGTCTCTGGATTGTTTATCCCACCTATCTTATCTAGGTAGACATGCAGAGACATTAATAAGCACAAAACCCAGGCAAAGACAAACAAAACAAAAAGGAAGACAAAACAACAATAATAACAAACAAAACAACAACAAAAAGAAAGCCAAGGGAAAAAGGGGAAAGCCTATAAATAGTTCCAGGCCTGGTTTTTACCTTTAGGAGTGCTTTCTAATTGAGTCTGATGGGGTGCTACGCTCCTCCCCAAAATCTATTTTTGGCATTCCCTGGGGATTCCATTGGTGTGCTCCCCTTGCTGCTCCGTTGCACACCCTTAGTGTTTCGCCCCAAGTGTAATGGGATCAGATCGGGCACAATTCCCGCACTGTGTCTCCAGTGTTGTCCCCTGTAGCGCTATGGGTCAGTAAGGGACAGCATATCTCATGGTGGTAGCCCCATGTGTCCCCATTTCCTCTGTGCCTTGTTCAAACTCCCCCTCAGGAGTCACAGGCAGATTCTCCCACTCAACCTTCCAGGGACTTGATGGCATTCTGTACCTGACTCACACTGAGGTCTAAACATGCCTAGAACTGGTGTCCATGCGTAGTCTGGGGGCTTGTACCCCCTCCCCATTGAGGAGGAGTTGCTGGTGAGGCCCTTCCCCCGCAGAGCAGTCTTGGCCACAGTCAGTGTCTTCAAAGGTCTGAATCATCTCTGTACTCTTGGTCCCACTGCCCCCTGGCTGGGAGCCAGCACGCTCAGGATGGCTTTAAGGGGCCCTGTTGCCCATAGAACAAGCCAGCCCTTCCATTCATCTCCAGAGGGGCCTGGGAATTCTTGGGTTGGCTTTCTCTTATAAAATTTAGAATTCGGCTATCACCAAGCTGCACACATACCTCTGCTGCACTTTCACTGAGAATGCATTGACGCTACAGATCTGCCATCCGTCCGTCCGTGTGTCCTACTGCAGTTGCCTGGTGTGTTGTTGGGATTTCAAGCACAACCAGGTCAGCGGCGCTTGCAGACCAAGAACAGACGGAACGAGCCGCCCTGCGGAGGGACTGGCACCTGAAAGCCTCAGGACTCGCACGGGACGTCCGTCGTCAGAGGATGAGCCCCGCAGGCGGGAAGGCGCTCAGACTATGACCGGGCAGAGCTGCCGCCTGCTAGTGGAGTTGACCGGGTGGAGTTACCGCTTTCAGGAGCCTCGTTTGCTGATGAGGCCTGAGTCAAAGTGAAAAGGAGCAGCTGCCAGCGTCCGTTCACACTTGGAACGTGGGATGTACAAAATGCAAAGGAAAATTTGGAACTGCCCAAAATGAAATGGAATGCACAGAGATGGCTAGCCTGCACACAAACGAGCTGAAATGGGGTGTATTGACCATTTTGAGCCCATCGTACGGTTTTCTTTGTGGGAAAGAGGAATGGTGTTGCATTCGCCATCAAAAGAAATATTTCAATGCTGTCTGTGATACAACAATGCCTATACCCCTACAGGGAAGTCTAATCATACAGCCGTTACTCAAATGATACTCCAACCACGAAAGCCAGTGGTGAAGAAACGGAGTCGTCTGCTTGAAATGGTCAGCTCTGCCACTGGGACGCACTGCCCATGGCGTGGGGGATGGGGCGGGAAGAGAAAGGGGACTTTAAGTGTTGGTGATGGACACAAAGCTGGAGGTCACATGGCAGAAATCGGCAAGACCAACGGCTGCTTGAGGAAGACCAAGGACGCAGCCTTCAGTGTGGATTCCGCCTCAGTGTCAAAAGACCCAACCCCCACCACTGGACAGTGGGCAAAATCCGGTGAACGGAGAAAAGGTTGAAGGTGTTCAGGATTTTGTCTTGCGGGACCCACAGTTAATGGTCATGGAAGCAGCAGTCAGGCGATCAAAAGACAGGGGCAGGCGGGGTTTCGTTCTGATTTAAGTGCCAGCCCCCAGGCTGCACTCAGCCCCCATTCAATTCCAGGCAGAGAGGCCAGCCCAGAAGACCACTGCTTTGGGGGGTCCTAAAGGGCAAAGCGTAATAGATCTTGTCAAAGAACACGGGGCAGTCTTGGTAGCTTATCCCGAAGAGGTTGCACTGAGGAATAATTTTCCACCATGAAAATGCAAACAAAATAGAGGGGTCCCACATAGTTTCAAATCAGGAAAGGTGTGTGTCAGGGTTTGTGTTCTTCTGGGTAGACTAGAGAAACAAATCCAGGGAGACTCATATCTGTAAGAGAGAGCTTCATATCAAAGAGCAATTGTACATTAAGAAAACATCCCAGCCCAGTCCAGATCAAGTCCATAAGTCTGATATTACCCCATAGTCGATACTAGTCCATAAATTTCTCTTCAGACTCAAGCAACACATGCAATGATGCCAAATGCAGGAAGATCACAGGCCAGTGGACGGAAAGTCTTGTGGATCCAGTGGTGGTGGAAGCATAGCTCCCTGTGGCTTGTCAGCAGGAAGACAAAGCAGAGAGAGAGTGTGTGTTCCACCTCCAGAGAGGAAGACAAGAGTTCCCAGCATCCTCAGGAGAGGCCATGCCCACACAGAGACACTATAGGCTATGACCTGATTAATAGGCTAAACTCCACCCCTCCGCTCAAGTAGGCAGGAGATTGATTATGTAACTGCCACAAGGTAGTATCTGTTCCTCATATTTATTCAACCTATATGCTAAGCAAATGATCAGAGAAGCTGGGCTATAAGAAGAAGAATGTGCATCAGGGCTGGAGGAAGACTGGTGGCAGCCTGTGACAGACAGCGCTTGCTTGTTGGGCATGCAGAGTCCTTGGAGCACGTAGTGAAGAAGACCACGTGATGCAGGCTCCCACGTGGGCTGCAGCTCAGCGTAAAGAAAAGAACGCCCCACGACCCCATCCTGCCTCCCACTGTGGGCTAGACGGGAGCACGTGCCATCCAGGAACAGGAATGGGAGGAACGATCCCAGAAGGCGGGGGTGGGGGGTGGGGGTGGGACCAATCGCAGTGATGGACACATAACCACACACCTCCCCCTCCAGGGGGACGAACAGCAGAAACCGTGGGGGAAAGGGAGACAGCGGTTGGTGTGAGATATGAAAAAGATAACACTTTATCAAGGAGTCACGAGGGCAGGGGAGTGGGAAGGAACTGATGCCAAGGGCTCAAGAGAAAGTAAGTGTCTGAAAAATGATGATGGCGACGTATGTGCAAATATGCTCGATACAATTGATGTATGGATTGTCACAAGAGCTGTAAGAGCAGTCAACACCGTCATGACCCAAACCCAAGCCGTACTCACCGCCATCGAACGGAGACTGACTCACAGCGACCCTGCAGGACAGGGCAAAAGTGTCCTGCAGGCTTCCCAGGCTGTCAACTTTACAGGAGTAGAAAGTCCCAACTTTTTTCCCAGGGAGCGTCTTCTGGTTTTGAACCGCTGACCTGGCAGTCAGCAGCCCAGGGTGTAACCACTAAGCTACCTAGGCTTCCCAGCAGCAGGATAAACAGAGAAAATGCTGGCATTGGCACAAAAGCAGCCGTCAAAAAGTCAAATGAGGTTATTGCACTGTCCAAGCCTGCCAGACGGGCCCTCCTCAAAGTATCAAAGCACAAACACGTCCGTCTTCAGATTGAAGCACTCCCGACCCACGCCCGGCGTTTTCCGTCGCTTCCTATACCTGTGAGAGCTGGACCATGAAGACGGGTAACAGAGGAACCGTGCGTTTGAAGTAGAGTTGACAGAGGTGACTGATTGTATCATGGATGTCCAGAAGCATGGACAAAGATGGCTTGGAAGAAGTCCAGCATCAGGATGGTCCTGAGAAGCAAGACACTTTCAGACAGGTGTCCACCTATTCTGGACATCTTAGCAGGAGGGACGAGTCCCTGGAGAAAGGCATCACGCTTGGTAAACTGGAAACCCCAAACCAAACTGCCTGGCATCGCGTCAATGCTGACTCATAGGGACCCCTGTGGGGTCCCCAGACTGTGACTGTGGGGGGAGGAGAAAGCCCACTCTTCCGCCAGAGGAGCTGCTGGCCTTTTCGAACTGCCCACCCCATGGATCGCAGCCCAACTGGCAGGGCGACACAGCAAAAATGAGGAAGGCTCTCGGCCGGATGGATTGATGCAGTGGCTGCAACAATGGGCTCGCGTGTAGGGGGAGTGGCGAGGTTGGCCCGGGACCAGACAGTGTTTCCTTCCTTCCGTTGCGTGGGGTCGCTGTGGGTTGGAACCAGCTCAATGGCACCTGTCGCTTACTGTCCTCAATTCATGATGCAGAACAGGATGGCGAGTGATTTGGACGTGTGTAAACACCATAGGTAAACTTACGAGAGCCCCTGCTGCTGCTAGAGCTGCTGGTGGGGGTTGGAGGAATGAGTGCTGGCCGTCGTGGTGGTGGTTAGACAGGCAGGGATGCCAGTGGAGGGAGACAAAGAGATTGGGGGGAAGGAATCCCACCCAGCCACACCTATCAACTGGCCTGTCTGAGCAGCAGGAGCAGCCCAGCCCCTGTCGCCTGCAGACAAACCAGAAATCCCACGCCCAGAGGGAGCCCCCTTCCCTGCCTTTCCTGCCTGTGTCCCAGTGAGATGGGCCCATACTGCAAGAATGGGGGGGGGGGGGTAGTCTCTAAAATGATTAGGGGAAAACGAAGGATCAGTCAGAACCCTATGTACAAATTTCACAGTGACCCTTCTCATTCCCAAATCTTCCATTAAAATTCACTGAACCAAAGGAGAGCTACTTTCCTTTTAAAACACAAAACAAAGCTTATGGGGCTACAGGCCAGTGTCCATTGCCCAATCAGACGTTTTGATGTAGGCCTGCACTGTGGTTGCCATGACCTTTAATTCTGGAGATGTTTTAAATCCCACCAGGTGTTAGTTACCATGGGTAGGGTCAGTGTCCGCTTACATTCATTCTGGGCCCCACTTCCCTTTTGCATCTTGAACTCTGCGTTTTCCTTCATCTCAAAGTTGGTTCTACCGAACTTCTTGCAGGATCAGCCTGCAGTTTATTCCCGATTTATGACTGTTCTTCACAAGCTCTGTTCTTGCCTTAAGTACTAACATACGAGGGGTACCCAAAAACATGGAATAAAATTCCGCTGGGTGGAGCTTTCGTAGTATGCATTTTTCCCACAAGGCAAGCATCTGAGTTAGTGCATCCAGTGGCATCTCCTGGGAAGGTTCTCTCTGGTCACAGTGATTTTTTTTTGTAAAAGCAGTTTCAGTCAAACCTCGATTTTTGTGATGGCTGATTTAAGAGAACAGCGTGCAGCTATGAGATTTTGTTTCCTGCTCAGGAAAAATGCCACAGAAACTGTTGTGATGTTGCATGCAGCTTATAAGGACAGCGTGATGGGAAAAACTCAAGTGTATGAGTGATTTCCTTGTTTCAAAAGAGATGCAATGCCAATTGATGACAAACCTCGTTCTGGACATCCATCAACTTCTCGAATGGACAAAAATGTCAACAAAACTTGTGCTTGAAGACTGACTATGAACCTTTGAAGCGATGGGGAAGTTATCTGGACTATCTTGGAACTCGTTCAGTGAGTTTTAATAGAAGATTTGGGAATGAGAAGTGTCGCTGTGAAATTTGTACACAGGGTTCTGACTGACCAGGAAAAAGAGCATTGAGTAGAAACATGCTTTGTTTGAAAGAACATTTCTGAAGTGACTCAGACGTTTTTTCCAAGGACAATTACTGGTGACGAGACATGGTGCTGTTCTCATGACCCCAAAAGCAAACATCAGTCAAGCCAGTAGAAGACGCCATCATCACATCGCCCCCCAAAACGTGTCAAGTGAAATCAAAGATAGACGATGCGCATTTGCTGTTGCTGTTGTTGTTTAATGTGAGGGGGATAGTGCATTTGGAGTTCATTCCACCAGGTCAAACTGTTCATCTACCCTGTTTCCCCAAAAATAAGACAGTGTCTTATATTAATTTTTGCTCTCAAAGATGCGCTAGGTCTTATTTTCAGGGGATATCTTATTTTTCCATGAAGAAGGATACGGTACCCATTTATTGTTCATTGTTTTATTAAAAGAGACCTCGCACTTCCTGTCTGCTCCGGCTGCGCTGCGGCCAACAGTGAGCTGCAAGGTGGCGCCCGTCACTATGGTCCAGAGTTCAGAGTTACGGTAGCTTCAGGGGGCCTTATTTTGGGGGAGGTCTTATTTTCGGGGATGCCTTATATTTCAGCGAGAGGCAAAATTGTAAGTAGGTCTTATTTTGGGGAGGGGGTCTTACTTTCGAAGAAACATGGTATTTAGAGGTTCCAAAAAGATTGCGTAACAGTGTGCGACAAAAAAGGCCTGATTTGTAGCAGACAGGGAAATGGTTTTGCCACCAAGACAACGCACCTGTTCATGCAGCCATCTCAGTGCACCATTTTTGGCAAAAAGAAGCATGCCTCTCTTGCCTCACGCACCTGACTCGCCTGACCTCACACCATGCAACTTCTTTTTGTCTCCACGAATGAAGAGAAACGTGGAAGGGCAGCAATGTGACGATGGAGAAGAGGTGCAGAAAAACAACGAGGGAGGTGCTGTCAGCCATCCAGACAGGGGGGCTTGAAAAATGTTTCTAAGAACGGAATCGCAGATTTGACAAATGTATTAAGTGTAATGGAGATAAGGTTGTTTTATTTAAAATAAATAAATACATAACTTTGGGAAAAAATCCAGTTTGGGGGAATGCCCCCTAGTATAATTCTTCAGGGTATAAGACTAGTTACACCGGTATTTTCTTTGGGTACATTGAGCATACAGCTCCACTGTCTTATTTTTTCCACTTTTTTTTTTTTAACTTTTTATTCTGAACTGGGTGGAGGTGTATGGAGCAAATCCGTTTTCCATCAGCAAGTCACACACTTTTTGTTTCTTGTTAGTACTTGCAATCCCCACTTCCTCCCTGAGGCTCCTGTTTTCCTGCCTCCCTTTTCCCTAGTCCTTCCTGCCCTCTGAACTCATCCTTGGCCAGGTGCAGCCCTTTGGATCTCAAATGGTTGATGATTCGTCTAAGGAGCTATCTCACAGCAGGAAGCCTGGTCTTTTTATGCTTTTGAGTTTGTTCCACCCACTACACCCAAGACCTTGTGAAGGGATAGCCCCTGAAGTGCAGGCCAGCTCCACTGTTTCCTAGCGCCCATGCCGCCTGTGAGACCCTGGCTGTCCATTTGTCACGCCCTTAAAGGGAAGCAATCTGTCTTCTCCTTGTAAGACAGTCTTCTTGCCATTGATTTTCTAGTATTTTTCTTTTCTGGTTTTTCCTGGGTTTTTTTTTTTTTTTTGGTTTGTTCTTCCTGTCTGTCATTTTATTTTTTTATTTTTAAACATTTTATTAGGGGCTCATACAACTGTTATCGCAATCCATACACACATCAATTGTGTAAAACGCATTTGTGCATCATTCTCAAAACATTTGCTCTCCACTTAAACCCCCGACATTAGGTCCTCATTTTTCCCCTCCCTCCCTGCTCCCCCCTCCCTCATGAGCCCTTGATAGTTTATAAATTGGTATTTAATTTTCTAGTATTTTTTGCTGCGGATTTTTTTTTACCTGCTGAAACAGGACAGCTTGTCTTTTGCTTCTTCGAGCATAGTGAATGTTGTTATTTTATCATGTATCTGACCGTTCCAGTATCTGACGTTTCTCCTGTTTTTCCTGATTCATATTGATGTGGCCATATGTGTCTGGCTGTTTGACTATGTCTTGAATTTTGTGTTTGACGTGGTATGTGCAGGAATAACTGAGGGCTAAGATGGTGTGATCTTCCTCCAGAGAGAGCTCTCTCCTTTGCTTCTGACCGGAACCCAGTCATGCTACCCGTCTGACCGTCTCCGGACTTCTGCTTGAGGGTCCCTAGATGCTCAGGGGGAATGAAGTCTGCAGAAAGCTGTCTGCTTCGGGCCCCTTCTATCTGTGAAGGGGAGCCCTCGGGGCCCAGCTTCACGGCGGTATTTATGGGGATCTCTACTTTGAGCTGGCTCTGAGCTGTCAAATGTGTCCCTCTCAAAGCGTCCTGGAATGCAGGTCTGATTCCGACTCAGAATGCACGAGGTGGGGAGCCACACAGAGGCCTGGGCTCTCCTCACTGTCCCGTTACCAGGTTGGGGTTGCTGCGATCCCACTTGTGGGCCTGCACCCTGGTGACCCTCAGAGGACATGTATTGATCTGCCTTGCGACCCTTCCTCTCCCAGGGGAGGTCCACAGTCTGATCCTACTCTGCCCCAGTGCTAATCATAAGCCTGTAGACCAGCAGTTCTCGACCTTCCTCATGCCGCCACCCTTTCATACGGTTCCTCTGTTGTGGGGACCCCCAACCATAACATTATTTTCATTGCTACTTCATCACTGTCATTTTTCTACTGTTATGAATCAGGCGAACCCTGTGAAAGGGTCGTTCAACCCCCAAAGGGGTCACAGCCACAAGTTGAGAACTGCTGCTGTAGAGGCTGGCTTTATGGTCCACCATCCATCCCTTCTCTTGTTTCTGCCCAGTGCCCCGTGAGGTCAGAGGTAATGTCAGCCCCTCCTTCCCGGTGGGAGAACCGGAGTGCGGAGAGATCCGAGGACAGCTGCTGACCCAGTGGTGGGCGGCGTTGATTTCAGCCAGGTGTACCTGACTCGAGGGGTGCTGCTCATCCTTGCTCAGATGACACCTGGGCTCCTCCGCCCCTGCCCCCTCCTCCCAGGCTGAGTTTGACCACAAGCCCTCCCACACAACACCAGCCCTCCAGTCTCCCCAGCAGTGTAAGCCCCTCTCATCCCATCCTCACAGCGGCCTCCCCTCCCCTCCCCCTCTAAGTGCTGGCTTAGCTGCTCTGCCATCCAGGACTAACTGAGGACCAGGGGCTCTGGGCAGGCTGGAGCCACTGCCTGCCCAAGGCCAGCAGCAAGGCAGGGAGGACACTCTGCAGGACACTGGGGTGCAGAAACAGGTCACAGCCCTGTGTCCCGAACACTCGGCCAGTCTAGGAGGGGGTGGCCCAAGGCCAAGCAACCATCTGTCAGGGGCCAGGTTGTCAGGCCATCCTGGGGATTCCTAAGCCAAGACTGGCCCCTCCACTTGCCCGCCGGCCCTCATCTCTGGCTTCCTGCCTGGCAGGTCAACAACAACGGCATCGTGTCCTTCCTGAAGGAGGTCTCCCAGTTCACCCCAGCAGCCTTCCCCATCGCCAACGACCGCTGTGTGGTGGCAGCCTTCTGGGCAGATGTGGACAACCGGCGTGCTGGTGACGTGTACTACCGGGAGGCCACCGACGAGGCCACACTGCGCAGAGCCACGGGAGACGTCAGGCGCTACTTCCCGGAGCTCCTGGGCTTCTCAGCCACCTGGGCTTTCATTGCCACCTGGGACCGGGTGACCTTCTTTGGAGGCAGCGCCTCTTCCCCTGTGAGTCCGCAGCGTTTGTCTTGAGGGTGGGCAGGAGGGTTGGGGGGGGCACTGGCTCCACACGTGGGCCCAGCCTCACGGAGGTGCTCAGGGACCCTCATCAACCCTCATCCAGGGGTGAGACCCAAGGTGGCAGAGCCATGTGGGGAGAGGAGGGAGTCTCAGAGGCTCCCCAGCTCTCCTGGAACCCCCAGGTCCCCAATAGCTCACTCAGCAGGGTGCAGCGGTAGGAGGGAGGTTTCCACCCAGAATGGGGTCTTGCCTGGTGCCACCAGAACAGTTACCAGCAGTGGGCAGCGTTGAAGAATGGGAAGTTTCTGCCCTGGGTCTGGGGGCCGGAAGGTCCAGTCCAGGCACCAGCCCTCCTTGTCGATAGCCACCAGCATTGCTCAGCTGTCCCTTGGCTGTGCTGTCCTCTTTGCCCACTGTGTGTCTGCGATGCCCACGGGGCAGTCTACATCCTGACCTTCAGGGTAGCTGCGTGTCAGAAAGGACTCAGTGGGGGGCTGGCTTGGTTTGCAGCGCTGCCACGTCACAGGCTGGGGTTCCCACCTGGCGCCTCAGACCCAAGTCCTTTCTATCCTGCTTGCCTCTGGGACTGGGAGCATTTCTTTTCAAGCCTCTCAGTTATTTTATTTTAATACCACATGCACAGAAAGCTGTGTTCAGTATAAATGTGAAGTATGACAAGCCAACCACATGAACCTCACATGTTCCGGATGCTCTGTGTTCCTTAGAGGTCAGACCCCTTCACACAGCCCCGATCTCTGCGTCCCCTACTGGTCATAGCCCTCCCATACCCTGGACCCTGACCCCTGTGGCCCTCATTGCCAGTCCATCTGTCCTCAGAGCATCCACACCTCAAAGTTTGCTCCCTGAACAAGCCAGCTGGCCTCCCCGCACTAACAGGTGTGCAGACAAGAACAGGGATCCAGACCCTCCATCAGTGCCCCTGAGCATGTCTCTCGCACTCTGCGATAGACAGTTCGCCCTGCCCACCAGAAGCCCTGCCCATCATTGTTTCCTTGGCACACACCTCCTAGAGGGGGCATGCAGCCAGCAGACGCCTCCCCATCACATGCTTACATCATACTCACACACACTGCCCTCCTCACACACATGACTCCAAACACACTAGACCCCACACCGGACTCTGCAGTGCTGGTTCCAGACCCACTGAAAGTGCTGATGTGATTTCATTTCCTTGACAATTACAAAGGCAACAAATGAAGCCCGTTTTGTTTCTGGTATTTATTACCCATCGCTGACATCTAGTGATGCTGGCTGTGTTCTTATGCCATCCTGACGGGTTGAAACCCCACTGTCCACCTTTCCTGATTTTAACCACACAGGAACCATATTCTGTTAGAAGGACTGCCTCTTGGTCTATGTGCAGGTCTCCGTGAGCACAGACGTGTTCTGGAATTTCCATTCTTCTTAAGATTATCCCTAGTTTGTCATGACCCACACAGTTAAACGCCCTTTGCATCATCCATAAGACACAAGTGAGCATCGTTCTGGTCTTTCCTGCTTTGAGCAAAAATCCATCTGACGTCAGCAGTGCTGTCCCTCTGTGTGAGTCCAGGTGGACTAGAGAAACAAATTCATAGACACTCATATGTATATAGGAAAGAGCTTTATATAAAGAGTAATTGGATATTAAGAAAATATCCCAGCCCAGTCCAGATCAAGTCCATAAGTCCAATATTAGCCCACATGTCCGATACCAATCTATAAATTCCTCTTCAGAGTCACGCAACACATGCAATGACACCGAATGCAGGATGATCACAGGCCATTGGATGGAAAGTCCTGTGGATCCAATGGCAGTGGGAGCATCTCAGTGCTGGCATGGGTCTCCACATGGTTCCTCCAGCGCCAGGGCTCTAGCATAGCTCCATGTGTCTTGTCTGCAGGAATGTCTCCCAGGGAATGAGTGTGTATCCCACCTCCAGCAAGTTATTTATCTCCTTAGCCCCTCCAAATGAGGTCATCAAGCCGAGACCTGATTGACAGGCTAAACTCCACCCCTTCATTCTTAAGTCTCAAGTTGACAACAGATTAGGTAACTCCCACACCCTCATTCCACAACCTCTTCTGAATCCAGCTTGAAATTCTGGTAGGTCCTCATTGATGTAGTTCTGCAAGACCTTCTTAAATTACCGTCAGCAAAGTGTGCTTGGATGCAGCACTAACTAATGATATGCTCTGTAAACTTCACATTCCATTGGGGCACCTTTTTTTCTCTGGAATCGCTCTCGTCTAGCCACTTGGTCAGGGAGCTGCCTTTCACACTTCTTGGCATAGTCACCGAGGAGCGCTTCCAGCCTTGCGTCTGTTCATGGAAACACCTCCACTCATATTTGTCCGTTCCTGGGGGCAGTTTTTCACCAGTGTTTTCAGCACAGTTTGAACTTCTTCCTTCAGCACCCGCGTGAGGCTAGGTGACAAGAGAAACAAATCCAGAGACACTCCTACGTGAGTAAGAGAGCTTTATATCAAGGAGTCATTACATATCAAGTCAACAGCCCAGTCCAACTCCAGTCCATGAGCCGGATACTAGTCCATCAGTCCCTCTTCAAACTCACGCAGACAAGTGCAGTGATGCAGAGTGCAGGGAAATCACAGGCTGGTGGGTGCAGAGTTTGTGGATCCAATGGCGGTGGCCGCATCACAGGGCGCTAGCAGGTCGCAGTGTGGCTCAGTCAACAGGAAGTTGAGGCAGGGAGAGAGAGGGGCCGGCTCCCAGAGAGCCATGTATCTCACTCGTACCTCCCAAGGAGGTCATCAAGCTGGGACCTGACT